AAAGGTAGAAATACTATTGGGGATGGGAAAAGAACTTTGAACCGCTCTACCATATCTGGAAATCCCTTAGCCTTTTGGACGTCATAACACAAAAGAATTGCACATATGTCATGTGAAGCAAAGATTTATGTGATTCACCTACGATTTATGTGACTCATAGGTTGTTAGAATTTGATAGGAACATGGCAAGCTCCCTAAGCTAAAGGAGCAATGATAGGAAGCATACAGGTTCAGTTTCCTATCTCCTTACTGCAGGCAATATTCAGACAGTTAAATTTGATTAACATCCTATTTTCTTAAAAAGTCCTTACAAATTCGGATTAAGGCTTTGGATGACTCAAAAAAGCTCTACAACTTAATGAAGATGGTGAGCTTTTTTTAAAACTCCTTCATAACTTCTGGAGATGTTTAAAGAAATCTTCATGAAATAACATTATTGGCAACCACAGAGTATCCTCTTCATCAGTCTGACATCTTTGTCTTCAATCAGAGGCTTCTCTAGACCTGCTGTAAGATGGACCATTACAGGAGATACTTCCTGACTACAGCCATTAGCATTTAACTTTGTGAAGAAACTCCTTTACAAGTGGCAACCCTGTCACTCTTGTCCCTTTGGCATCATTTTATTATATTTTGAATTAAAATATTCACTAAGTAGCATTTTAAAGGCTCTCTGTGTAAAGGTTAAAGTATAATGTGAAACTGATATGTTATTTTGAAAATAGAACTTTATATTCAAGAGAAGCAGAGCAGCACAGCAGAAATACTTTTTATGTGTTGATTATCGCCTCAAGCCGCTTGTATTTTCACCTTAGAATTTGAAACCAAACTGCATACAGATTTAAGAAGTCTATGTTAGTAACTAGTTGGGTTTTCTGTTTTTGCAAATGATTTAACTCTGCGGTGCCGATTGGGATTTGTTGGAAGTATGGAAACCGTAATGAAAGCAGCGTAATTGTGCATCTGGTTCAGTGGACTAATCTCTGTTTGTCCACATGGTGTCTAAACCAAATGAGGCCCTGAGCCCATATTTGTTGCAGATGTGGATGTTTGTGTAGGGTGGTAATGGAGTGTTGAATTGGAAGGGTAGCATTGGTTCAGCTTTAGATTTAAATTTCTTTTCTCAGCATGCTATTGTACAAGTGTGTCCTTCCCATCGCTTCAGGATAGGTCTGGTTATGGAGGCCGCTGCTGGATTTGTTTTATGAAGTTTAAAAAAAGATGCACACACCTGGTACAGCACAACTCATAATTTCTCCTCTCTTGTCTATGATATTGCTGCAGTTAAGGCTAATGCGTTCAGAGATAGCTCCAATAGCGAAATAAAGGGATTTCTCAAAGGAACAGCAGTGATTTTATTAATGTCATCTGTTTAAAAGCATGGAAAGTAATCACATTAACATCCCAGTGTAATTCTGTGTTTCTTTTGTCTGCAAGCTTCAATAGGAAAGCTCCTGTGAGAGCATTAGCCTAACCACTACACAGTATGCGTGCTTAGTAATATTCTTTCTCCTCTTTGAACAGCCCCCAGTACTATCACAAATCAGCTCCTTCTCCTCTCTCAGTGACAGTTCTTCATTTTAGTGGTTGAGGTGGGGACGTATTTGATAAAATTATCTCCCTAATTATGCTGTGATTCATTGAGAACAGCAGGCTAAACCTTCTCTCAGCGTTCCAGTCTCCTGCGCTGTCCAAATCCTATCAAGCTGTCATTTCGAAGTCCGGTGTGGTTTGGGCTCTGCCCTTGGGTGGAGCACAATTAAAGCTCCGCTTGGCCCAAATATGGGGACACACAAAGACTCCTGGCACCTTCTGAAGGTTTATAGCATCCATCCCTCTCTCCAATTATTCTTTTATTTTTCTGCTTGAAAGGTCTTTATCTTTTTTTTTTCCCTTTCCTGCTCTGTGTTCCGGTTCTCCCTTTTCTTCTGCATTTTGGCTCCTTTTCTTTCAAATGTTTCCCTCTAGTTACCTTTTTGCTGAGATTTATTATTCAAAGACGGTTTTGCCTGGCACTTAACCCGTTTATTCTGTCTCGTTTGGATGAGAAAGCACCAGCTGCTAATTGATCAATTAGGCCAGCACCAGATGACATCATTGTTACTTCTATGAGAAGAGTTTATTGCAGCATCAAGCTGTAGACGGTAATTCAAGTTTGCCTTATACTTTTCTTTCCAGTTAATCTGCTTAAGTCCTTCAGGGCTTTTATCCTACTGGCAAGGCCTTTTTTCCAGTTATTAACATCTGTCTTATCTGCAATTGCACTTGTATTTTCTAATGTCCAGTATTAATCACTTGCACATATTGGCATTAGTCCTGCAAATCTTAAATACCCTCTTCATAGACTAAAATTGTTTCTCTCTTAAGGAATAGAGCTACATTATGAAGGAATTGCACTTTTCCCAGAAAAAAGACTCTACTCCTGTTGTTCTGTGGAAAAAGTGTGATTCAGTTTTGCAGACATTTGTGAGATGGGGGATATGGAGCCAACAAGTCAACCCCATGCCATGTATTTGTTTTATCCAATCACTGAACTAGGTAAGTCCTCACCTGGTTCAGTGGCTGGGCAGAACAAATATGATGCATGGAGATGACCTGTTGACTCCACATCCCCAAATTATTATTTTCTTAAAGTTACAAAAAAAAAAAAAGTACATACATTGTCAATTGAAACATCTTAACAAGACTGCGATTATCTACAAATTAAAACTGTTGTACCGCCTTTAATGACTACCAGGGTTGCAATATTATTCAACCCAATGATGGTGACCATCGTTAGTGCTGCAGACAAAATGCGCAGCAGGACACAAGCCACTGAGAGTGTTGCTAAGGAGTCTTGGCACACTTCTCCTGGGCAATGACCATTTGGTAGCATTTGATTTTAAAAATAATTCTGGTTCAACTCTCTGCAAGTAAATATTTGGACTTGTCTTACTGGCGACCCATCTCTGGTGTACCCCACTTTTTCTTCTGTAGACTGCTGGAGGCAGTCACCAGCCCCCCTAGACCTTGATGGACGAGCAGATGGAGGGAAGGATAGATTAAGATATCAGGAAGATGAAAATATGTCAGACACAAACTTTTATGGTATAGACAGGACTTCTAGGATCTGATATTAATTATTTAGGGAAGTCTGAACCTTATCCATAGCAGTGGTAAATATAAAGTACAGACAACGAATCCAACAGATACTGGAAACAATCAGTGTTCCAATACATGTTTCAATATCTTTAATCAAGGTACACAGGCATTCTTCTTTGGCTTATTTACAGAGTGCCATCTTCTATATGTTGTAGTACGTCAGGCGACCAATAAGCTTTGATTTGTTAATGGAGGCCTACGTAATAGAACTTGGAATATTTAGCTTAAGTCATACGGGTGAAAAGATAAAACAATAGACATGTAATTGATAATGCGCTTCATGAGCTGCAGATTACTAATCGTGGAAATAAGGGTTGCCTCATTTAAATATTGGGGAGCATTTCTAATCCACTTATTTCTATTTTAGTGGCGCTAAAGGCCTCTGCTCAGTACTACCTATACCTTGAAAGTGACTCATCCTAAAAATATTAAGATGATTACAGGATATTTAACCCTAATAAACACACTCACTATCTCAGAAAAAGACCAAGTATCAAGTTGTCCATTTTATTTTAAGAGGCCAAAATACATATACAATATCTAATATGACACAAAACTGCTCAGGGAACTGAAAACATGGTGCCAACCCATACATAAAATGTATATATAGCTTTTTAATTCTTCCCTCTGGATGTTCTCCTAATAATTGAAATGCACCATGGCTCTGAACTGAAAAATGTCTGGCTGCTCCTTCTGGGTCAAAGGTGGGTCTGTGCCTCAAGCATAAGAATATCTCAGTGTCTTATTTACGATTAGGCATGTGCATATGTCAGATTCTATAAATATAACCTTAGTGACACCACCAGCATTATGTTGGGTAGGGGTATACCCAACATTATAAATCTATCCTCCATACATCTGGGGAGAAGTCTAGTCATCCCAGCTCTTTCACTAGCATCTCCTAAAAAGGACTTTAAACTATTGAAACAAGATGCTAAAAAGTTAAGCAGAGAGAAACTAACTTTTAAATAAACCCAAAAATATATTCAAGGAGGATCCCTGGATGTGTCAGCACATGAAATATTTAAACTTAGGCTTTTTTTTAAAACTTCATTCTGACCTGGATATGCCTTTAGCTGAAAAAAGATGTCTGGCTTTCATTGCCACTCAATTTCATATAAGTGGTTTGTTGGTCGATTCCGCTTCTAAAGGCTGATTGATATAAAAGTTAATACAAACATAAACCAGATGCATTTTTGGCTTATGTTTGCTAGAATTTATAATAATAATATTTTCTATATAATAATATTTTTCTATTTTAATTGCCAGGACTACAAGGGTTCCCAAATCCAGTCCTCAACACCTACTATCTTGTACCTTTGGGTGCATCCCTGCTCCAGCACATCTAAATCGGATGGCTGAATTCCCCGATCAGCATTCATTCAGCTCTGCAGAAAGCTGGTAATAAGCCATTTATCTGATTCAGGTGTGCTGAACAAAGAGTGGATCCAAAAGCTGCAGGAAAGTAGCTCACAAGGAATGGACATTGGCACCACTGTGCTATTGAAGGGCTGGAATATACTGGGCATGCTTTGGCACAGCCCAGTATACACTACTAGTTAACATGTACAGTAGTATATTGGTATACTGTATATGAAGCTTCTAACACATTGATATGTAAAAAAAAAAACAAACAAAAACAAAACAAATTTATAGATACTTCTAACAACAAAAAAAAATTCTTTAAGCATATTGTTTTCTGTTAGATTTTTTTTTTTTTACTTTTTCTTGTGGGTATTTATAACTGTTTTCCTGTTACATTGCCAATGATTGGGACCATCAGTGTGACTATATATTAAAGTGTACGGATTCTGACCTAAAATAATTTCAACAGCTGACTGTTTGATCCTGAATTTCAGATTCACGTTTACAGCCTGGAAACGGGGAAGCCAGCGGTTTGTGTCGGCAGCTCGCCGGGAGATTTCACTTGCATCAACCTGAGAGACAGCCCCCCCCATCTGTTGGTGTGTGGAAACAAAGACAGGAGGTAAGGACACCAAAACTCTAACAAGTGCAGCTGGAGAGTGCACACACATAATGCATAAAGAAACAAATCTCATTTAAGTGCATAGACGAATGCACCTGGTAAAGGTTTTCAGGTAGAAGCCACATGATGCAAGCTTAGGAAATGACTGGAAGGAGAGAACAGGTGTTTGCAAAAGATTTGAGTAAACAAAACTCTACATTTGTCGTATTATTAAAGACTTTCTGTTTAAAAAGAAAAAGAAGAAATATAGTGAAGACAAAGGTTGCATTGAAATACTAAGAGGAGTCATATTTTGCTCTTTGTCTTCTCCATTACCTACTGGATGATAAGAGACGAGAATTCAGGCTGTAATGACTTCACCCAGCAGCAGCAACACACTCTCTTTCGTTAATGTGCACATGCTCGCCACATTGGCTCGCCGGTTAAAGAAAAGACACATAAAAGATCCATTCTCATCTATTCTGCACTTGTTAGAGGGTGCTGTGATGCGTAGGATGCCAGGAAAGGAGAAATCCCTGGCATGTCTTCATCCAAAGCTGCCCCCGCTGTTTCTATTCAGCCCCAAACCCATCTGGCTGTTAAGTAGTTGGCTTAAAGTGGAGAGACCACCTCATACTGTTTGGGTTCTGTTTCTCCCTTTCCTGCTAGTTACAATTAACAACACCTGAAAAAAGACAAAGAAATAGTTCCTTTTGTTTTGTTAGCGACTTCAGTCTTCAACCCTTAATTTTTTGATCAGATTTCATTCAGACAGGGGAAAAAAAGAACTGTAGCTTGGCTCTTGGACTTTGTGCTGCATTTTCTGAAGCCAGAGTCGAGGACAAATGGGAACGATGGAGACTAACGGATGGTCGGCAATCTTGGCCCTTTGTCAGGGTGGCATCAAGCCAAAGCCTAATGCATCCCTTCTTTTTGTCCAGATGAGTTTTGTCACTCTGCATTTTTTGTAGGATCCAAGCACCAAATGAGGAATCCAGATAAGGCCTGTGTGAGGGGAAAAAAGAACACATCTGTGCAAACAAGACAAATCTGAGCAGAAAAAAGAGAAAACAGAAGTCTGTGAGGTTGTTAGCTAATGGCTACTCATTCAACAGAAAGCTTTGTTCTATAGAAAAATATGATGTCTGGTGTAGAAAATGACAGTTTGTCATTTTACAGATTTCATAAAGTTTGTCTTGACTTATAGAGGAATACTCAATATCAGATAGGGCAGGGCAATTTGGCTTAAAAATCAATTATCCCATTTTTATTAGCAGATCTGATAAATCTTTAAATAAATTTTATATAATAATTTTTTTTTGTTTCATTAAAACAAAGTAAAAATTATAGGAATTAATTTTAAATAAAGACCCTTATTTTAATGATCCCTTCCTAGGGTTAACCTGAATTTAGAATGTAACTAAATGCATGCAAAAACAATAAATATACGACACACGAAATGTTTGCAATGAGGGGTTTCTTGCAATGAGCTAGTTTAGCAGCCTTGAGTTGATGGCTAAGATCATTTGATAGTCTGACATCAGTCTGAAATATGTAGGCCAACGAACTGCATCAGTAGAAAAAGAAAAGCCAGATTGTCCTTTAAAGAAATCTTCATAAACAGGAAATTGGCTTAATCATTTAAATCAATTTATAGCCCAGCCCTATTTTTTTTTCTTTTTTTGTAAGGTTGTCTTTTCTAGTTTTAAAGCTACAGTTTGCAATTTTCAGTGATATCCACCAGTCAGACTGAAGCGAAAGGAGCCGTCAACAAACCTACACCAAGAGCAAGAGAAAAATGCGACTCCACTTATAAGAAAAACTCTGGCTTGAAATCGGTCGTCTTCATGATGTTGTAGTACGTTACAATTTTTATTACGTCTTTTAAGCACTTAACCAAGTAATCCCATCCTACTTTCCTTTCATTCCTGTGTACTTAAAAACTGTTAATCAAATTACTTCACCTGCTAGTAATGTGCTAGTATTTAACAAAAAATATCATGGTCAGTTTGCTCTTTTGCAAAACTAGAAGTGTTGCTATGTTCTCCTTTGTGTCGTTAACAAACCACTTGTCTGTTTCCTTAACTATACATTACAGCATAATTCACTTTGTAGATAATCAGAAAAATACTGTACATATATTGCACATATGTTCTATTTAAATTCTGTTATTTTTAAACTTTTCTTTTTTCATCGCACCCTATTTTATTTGAGCGAGGTTGTAATTGGGCCGGCTGATTCCCTTGAAATAAGGTTATGGCCAATAATTAAACCAAAATAACACTGCAATCCATTTCTGGTAGATGAGATCTTGATTAACATTAACATAGTTTCACTGCTTCATAAAATAGTTTTGTTTTTCATATCCACTTATTTTTCTTTCCTAAAATCTTTGAAAGTGGGTGTAGTGTATAAGATGTGTTGGCTTGGATTTCTACCACCTTCCATGGACACTGCAGAGAGGACTTCATAGAAACAGGATTGTTGAACAAAAGGAGGATTTTATTTCAATATGCCAATGCTAAAACAATCAGATCTGTGCACAATATCTGCAGAGAATGGACCAGATTGTAGCAAAATTATCTGTTCATCTCTGTTCACTGCCCCTTATAGGGAGGTATAGATCATACGTATATAACACCATATTTAGCTGCGAATTGTAAGTCTGTAGCTCAGTCATTAAACGCATACATACACATTTCCATATTTAGAATCGCTACAGCTTCAGCATGATCACAGATCTATGCCCCACCTTGTATAGAGTCTGGATCTCCAGCTCCTAACTAAAGATAAGAGCTTTTGCTATCATCAGATGCTACATGGGTTGGAGATGTTTTAGTTGTGTCAAGTTTTAAACCTGTTCAGCTTAGTGTCTAAACCAACAGATTGTAAAAAGTCATTGAAAACAACAAAGGATACATGTTTAGAGTGGAGCACTGTTATCATTGTAGTTACTTCATCCTAAATGGCTGTCCTCTCACTCTCCTGATTAAAACTGACTTCCTTATACTGTTCTAAATAGGCCAGTAAACTACCAGGGCTCTGAGGTTATTTCACCATAGCAGGGCTATCAACTGTCACCCATTGGGAGTGAGACTCACCCATCTCAGTGTCTTGACACACTCTCACTCCATATTCACAATTTCTCACACTATAAAATGACAGACATTAAAAATCAACTCTGTTCCACTTATTTATGTATAAAAATACCATGGTGATCAAAATCCAGTCTGTGTTTTTAATACAACCTTTGTGCTAACAGACAAGGACCATGTTTTGCTCACAAGTTAAATAATTATTGCTCAGTCTAGTCTAATAATTTAGGTGTAATTAAACCAACACAAATATTTTAATTCTTAAAGCTTCCAGGTTTGCCTTCCAAACCCATAGGAGCTCCACAAAAAGAAAAATAATCACTGCATTTTATTTTTCAAAACACCAGCTACCCAAGAAAAGACCAACCACATACAGAGGATTTGCAGAACAGCTCAGTTATCCTGGATTCATAGAAGAGAAACCACAGGGATGTTTTTCTTTTATTATTATCTTAATCATTTATTTTTATTTTGGTCCATTAAAATTATGCTTAAAAACTTTATTTCCATCACACCTTTCAAATGAAACATCCAGAGAAGTGTCGTCTCCTCTCATGGTGAGTTTTTATAAAATCTACAGCCTTCTAGAAGGTCTGAATTGTTTAGCCGTTTTGTGAATTGTAAGATTGATTTTATCTAATAACATAATAAATGAAGTTTTTTTATCCTTAGCCTATTACCAAATATTCATACACAGTGTAGTTTGCATAGGTTTCGATTGCACTGGTTCCTGTATCAGTGCCAGTAATCCAGGAATAGCTTATTAGATCCCATTGTTTAATTTACTTGAACTGCAGAGAATAATTAATGAGCAAAGTTGTGAAATTCTTAAAGTATATTTAAGATGCAAGTATTTTAGTTGGGGCCATTCTGCTTTATTTCAATTCTCTAAAAGTCACCAGAATGTAGAAAATAATGTATATTGTGAGAAAAATGTTAGACATAACCACAGACCACTTATTGTTACTCAGTAATATTTACTGTGCTATAAAAATTCCACATTTTGCCGCTTTGTTTAAGTTAAATCCTCTGAAAACCTCCAACCTATAGCTGCACCTATGAGGATAGGTGGAGGATAGGTGCAGCCTGTCAGGGTTAAATGAGGATCTAACCCTGACAGGAGTTCCTCTCCAAACTATTTCAAAATCTCACCCCAAGGTTTGGTTAAAAGTTGGCAGCCCTGCCATAGTTTATACATTCTTAAATTAAAAACAAAATATTACAATGTGGAAACATCTTAGATGAATAAATGTATTACATTTACTCCACAAATGGGAAAGGGAAGATTATGCTGGCTTCACATTGCATTTACTGCTAGTTAGATGCTAATAAGCACTTAATCTAGGTTTTCGTCTTTCGTATTGCTGGAATTAACAAATTGCCTTGAAAATAAGTCAATCTTAAATGTATCCATGTAGATCACTGATACCGGTTGTTTTTAACCGTTGTATTTTTATGCTTTTGTAATTCGGCTAACTGGCAAAGAAAAAAAAAAATTGATCAACCAGGTTAACAAGATTTTTCTCGTTCTGTATCGGGGGGAGGGTTTCTACAGCCCTTAAGTTATTGTTGCTATTGTCAGTTTTACTTATAAAGTAGGTGGTTGTGGACATTTTGTTTTGATCTAGCAGAGCAGATTTATAAAAAAATGTAAGTTTTTGATAAATCTTGCATTTTTTGTCTGTAATCTCTTGTGTACACTTTACTCAAAAACGGCACAGTTTTTGTCTCACAGGTTGAACATGAATTGGTCCAGTGGTTTTTAAGCTTAAAACTGATCATGTTCTTATTTTCCCTGCATCTTCAAGCCACACATTTTTCTGCATATCATGTAACAATATAGTTAGTATTGTCTCTCTGCGTTGACCTGAAATTCACTATACGGAGCATTTGTGGAAGATTGTGAATTCCGAATCATTAAACTAAATCAGACATCATGCTTCTGATGATTAATTACTTCTTCTGTCTTTAGAAAAATAACTGTTCAGGAGTTGTTTGTGCTTCTCTCACACTTCCTTTTGATTAATGAAGAAGAGTCTGGGCAGTGACAGTTCACCAAAGACCGTCGCCTCCAGCATTAGGTTTATGGCTTCCTGTGGCCTTGCCTGCCTGTAATGTTCATCCCTCATTATTTAAACGTGCACCTCCATCACGTAATTCCACTAAACAGACAAAACGAGCTGAAGACAAACAAGACCACGGTGCCCATTTTCCCTTTTAACTTTGCCTCTTCAAAAAAAAAAAAAGTTTTGATTGCGCAAAATGAAATCTGCCCGAGTCCCCAGAGTAAATTTGATTATGGTAATGAAGACTTGGAAGAAGGTTGATCCTGGATGGAGTCATGTCCTGGATGCTTTCAGCTGCAATAAAGCCACGCCGACAACAGATGGAGCTGAAAATCCCCTGGGCTTTTGTTGCTAATGAAACACACAAAGCAAAAAATCTTACTTCTATTGTATTAAATCCACTGCAGAAAACAGCACTTTAAAATCCATCGTAATTATGATTGCATTAATCAGTATGTTGTACCATATTGTTTTAACACATTGTCTGCTGTGAGAAATTACAAGAAAATAAAACATCAGCAGTTACTAAAAATGTGTGTATTTTTCAACACTTCTAAGGAAAATATTTTTTCAGCTGCTTTTGTTTTGTTTTGACTTTTTATGCAGTACTTAATCTTATGTTTTACTATTTTAGTAACTTTACTATTTACTATTTGATAAAGCTCTCTATGAAGCTTTTGTGGGTATTGATATAACTTTCCTTAAGCAAAGGCTTTAGGTTTTTTCTATGCAAGGCTTCTTCTATGCAACTCTCCATATATGTAATATAGATTCTGCTTTATGAAGCTGGCATCCAAAAGTGGTCCCTAAAAGTATATTTTTGTTTTTTTCCTTATTCACATACAAACAAAGCTCTTCTGTTGCTCCTTCTGAATTAAGAATCCTAATTTTAAACATATTTTTTTCCTTTCTATTGTGATGCAGAGTGAGGGTCTTTGACCTCAGATCCGGCTCCTCTGTGGTGTCCCTGTATGCCCACCACCTGGGCGTCACATCAGTGCAGGCGGATGAGTGGAAGATTGTGAGCGGTGGAGGCGAAGGTCTGGTGTGTGTTTGGGAGATGAGGATGGGAACTAAGCTTTGGGAGATGCACAACAGGTAGGACTTTAGAAGATTGACTATGTAAATGATAGCACAGCTTTCCCCAAAAGAACATATACTGTTTGTTTGTTTTGTTTTTTTGTTATTGTTAGCATACTGACAGGCTTTTATTATTGTAAATCCAGACTTAATTTGTTCCTTTTTTTTATATATCAACAGATAAAAAATGTTTGAAGAGTTTGAAGCTGATTAAATTTTTTAAATGTATTGCATCGTTTGTTCAGTTCATTTTGTTTTCCTTCTTTTTGTTCACAGGTAAACAGAAAACAAAGCAGGGATTAAAACTTAAGTAATTAGTAAATACTGATGGCTATTTTCTGTTTTGGAAGGCATCCTGTTAGGCACCTTCGCTTCAACGCCAACACCCTGCTGACGGCCAACATCCCTGATGACAAGTCGCCACGTGGGGCCTGCATCACCGACGACGACCTCACAGCTCACCGCAGGTCAGTGCTGAAATCTAAAAAGACTCTTATCTCATTACATCTATTTCTGGAAGGCTGATGTGACGTGTCAGCCATATGCGTATCGATCATCAGTATGTAGACAACAAAAATAAGGAGGAAGATGCACAGCAGTCCTGATGACCCTTTACGTGGTATGGCTAATCTCTGTAAGGGTGTAAATCCTCCTTCACATAACTAATCATTGACAGCATTGGAAAAAAAACAACAACTTGTAAATGATTATTTTAACCTTCCAAAGCATTTTGTTTTTGACATGACTAATTTCTAAAGCCTCCATTAACTGTAACTGTTGTTGGTTTGTTCCTTCTCAGACACAGAGGAGTCATCTGCCATTACGACTTCTCCGAGGACGCCCTGTCACAGGATCACGTCTTGCCCATCTGCAGGTCCGACTACATTGACTCATACGGCTACAACTACAACATTAACCTGACGGTGCCCTACGACAGGCTGTCTGGCTCCCAGCCATCTCACTGAAGGCTGCAAACAAAACACTGACTGCAGAGCGGATCGGACAAGAGATGCCTTTATCTGTCTGATTCACAAACTGCTCCATTTTAGTTAGCTTTTACTATCCTTGTAAAGACAAATGGTTTTGGAAATGTCCTCCTTTAGGTTTTTATTTTAGATTCAAACATATCAATTTCTATAAGACTGTTTAAAATATTACCGTACATTGATTTGTTTTATTGATATTTTTGTGTTTTAGATCTGATGCATAGTCTAATTTATGCACAAAGAATAATGGCATATTAGTGTTTCATATAAAGATGCAAAAAAATAAAAGACATCAAAAAATGTTTTTCCCACTTTTATTTCTAATCCCATGTTTTGTAGTGAAAGTAAATTATCTTACAGCTGTAGTGGTTCATTAGACACAGAAAACATAAAATATCCGTCTATTCTGGTACTGCGGAGGAACGGTATGTGACAGTCTCCAGATGACTTCCTTCTTTACGAACATTTGGCTTCAAGTAAATAATCCTTCATTCTGCACACTGGCTTTTCTCAATTTAAAATAGACTTACCGGTAAGTCATGTGACTTTATTAAATATTAAAAATTATTCGACTAAGAAAAAAGGCCACAAATCTGTTTGAAACATATAAACCGCCTTCTGAATAAAAACAAAAACTTTAAATTCGCAAACAGCTAACAGGTGTGAAAATATGAATCCTTTTTTTCTGCTTAAAAACATGTTAGTGCATAAAAAAAAGCATTTCTTGCTTTTTTTCCATTTTTAATGACAGAGGTGGTTCTGCTAAAAAAAACAGCAACATAAAGAATCCTTTAGACTAACATCCTTGAGGTGGGTCATTTTCTGCAACATCCATGAGCGGTGCTCGCGTCCAGAAAGCGAATGTGCATCCTGGACTCCATCTCAAGGCCTTTTAAAATCTGCAAACAAACACCAAAAAGCTGTGATTCAATCACAAGTTGTGTGTGTGTGTGTGTATATTTATATGTGTATGTATATATATATATATATATATATATATATATATATACATACATATATTTTTTTTTTTGTCTTTGAAGGGAGAGAAAGATGCAAACCTGTTGAAAATGTTCAAATGTAATCCCTTCATAGAAGTCATCGGGACCCTGGTGCGACAAGAATCTGTTAGCTCAGTGCTGCGACAGTGAGGCATGAATTTGACCAGCTTAGTGGTAGCGAGTCCTCTTACCATGTTGGGCACATTAGTGCTCGCCACCTCCAGCATGGCGGCATCTGCTATCGCTCTCGCTGCCTCCTGCCCGATGGTGCCACTTTTTGACAGAAGCTCTTCTACAACCTTGGGGTTTAAACAGACGATTGACCTTAAAAAACCTCATTGGCAGATTTAGAACAGCGGGTAGGACGTGGTTTTAAACGTTTATTACAAATTATCACCTGTGATTGTCAGCTTCGAAGCAGTACAGTAGAAATGTTTTCTGTTATTGCTTACATCAACATATTTCCTCTCGTTTTTTTCCCCTTTATCATATTTGAACACCAGAATATGCATCATTTATATTTCTTTCTTAGCCCTTTATAGGGCAAGTTACTGATTTTGATCACTTGCATACCCCTTACAAATGAAGTCCCCCTCGGTGAGGTCTAGACGCACAAGATCTATATCCAGCCATTCAGCAAAGATACTGCTACATGGCTGTGCATCTTATTTTGGCGTTTGATCAATTAGATGAACCCTTGAATGATATATTACCTGCTGTAAATTAAGTTGCAAGAAAAAAAGTTAAGTCAAAAAAAGGTAAAAAGCTAATTGAAAAGTTAAAAAGTTACTAAGCCTAGTTAACAATTATATTTAGGTTTATAAGTGCCAGTATCAGAATTAATGCCTCTAAGTTATGTTGTACCAAAAAAAATTTTTTTTTTCACTCTGAGTATTGTTCTTGAATTTCTTATAGAATTCCTTAGTTATTTTTCTTAATATAATCGGGCAAGTTGGTATTTCTTATTACATTGACATAAATTTTTGCCATCAAAATATCCATATTTTTTGAATGTTACAAATGTAATAAGGTCTTGTCCTTGATTGCAATAACACTGTTGACATGAAATTTTGATTTTCAAAGGATTTAACTGAGTGCCCTATAAAGGGTTAAAACTGAATCCTCTTGTTTTTGTTCTTATTACATAAAGAACGTAATAAAGGAGGGTTAATTTAAATGGGAAGCTCTGAACACGAATCTTTTGCTAAGACTTCTCTGTATATTGCTTACAATGCGTCTGTAAAACCCAATCCTTTAATGCTCCCTAATCCACCTTTTTTCTTTTTTTGTACCTTTACTAATTTGACTAATTATACACGTCTAACAATGAGAGTCTTTACACACTGTTTCATTCAGCAGCTGTTAAAGCAAGACAATATATAGAGAAGTTATTACTGTATTTCCACAATAGATTGACCTCTGCAATACAATCAGACAAAACAAGTAATTGAATTGACTTTCAGTACACTATGCATGGGTTAGTGTTTCCTTTGATCAAATTTGATCCTCAATTTAGTTCAGACAGAGTAAATGGGTTGTTCTGCGGCTATTTGTTGCATTAAAAATTATTATAGGAAAGAAAAATATGCCATGCATCAAACGGGACAGAAATCAAATTTACTTAACTTAAAAGCTCCCGACTCAAGGTCACCTTTTGTTTGGTAAAACTGTCATTTTTACGACCAAGAATTATCCCTGCTTTAATTCAATTAATTTCCAATTTGAAAAACAGAGATGTTTTACTTACAGATCTGTGGTCAACAAGGTTCTTTCATATTAAAGCTGAGTCTCCTTCATGTGTATCTGCTACATGCTAATTTTTTTTTTTCAAAACATAAATAGACGTAATCTGGGCAAAAAAGGCACATAATAAGCACCTACCCTCCTGTACTCCTGTAGCGTAATTTTGCCATCACCATCGGTGTCGTGCATGTTGAACAGGACTGGAAAGACAAGACAAAACAGAACAATTAAAGCTGCTGCTTAGATTTGTTAAGAAATACCCACCTTGTGGGATTGGGCAACAAGAAATTATGATTACAGGAATGTTTACGATGCAGAAATAAGATAATGAAGCAGATCCTTCAAGCAATAAGAGGATTAACAATGACGCTGTAATGTCTAGAAAATAAGCAGCAGTTCTTGGTATTTTACTCATAAAAGTACACATGTTGTTTAAGGTCCCAGATATAAAATAGTTTGATTAGGGTGGATGGTATTAATAGTTCAACTCCGAATAAAGACAAGGCATTATTCACATGAAAGGTAATTAGATCTTTGTTAACCTATTTTTTATTCTTGTTTAACTGGGAATATAATAAATGAGCTCTCTATAAACCCGAGTGCTTTTGAGTTCTTATTCTAAATTTCAATCTAGAGTATGAGCCAGATTCTGTAATCTTTCCGTCAATTATTAAGCAAATTTTTCCAGGTTGAAAGATTAAAAACAAGGGCAGTCTGGGTCTAAATGTAAGTTTTCAAATAAGGTTCTTTTAGTCCTTACTCTACATATGAGACATATATTGTTTTGTACTTTTGGAAGTTTTTGTCATCTTTAGTGTGAAAGTTTTGCCACCTTCACATGTAGTTACAGCATATTTTGCTGTGTTTTAATAATTAAAAAAAATATTCATAGAAGCAAAAGGCTGTAGGCTTTACCATGATAAAACGCAATAAATGAGTCGATAAGATGAATAAAATAACTTGATTAATGTGATCAAGTTGACAAGTTTAAAGGGACAGTAGGATTTACCTCCACCTAGTGATGCACTGAATAATTTACAAACGACAGACTGCTGCATCCCTGTTGAGCACTTGAGACCTACTACGGAAGCCAAGGAGAGACATTCTAGTCTTTCTGACGGGGCTTGTCAAATTACTTAAACAATGAAACGGATGGAATTTTTATCTGAAATCTGCAGCTAAGGTAGTCTAAATGGCCAACTCCATCTTATATCAGAGATATTATTGTTCCTCATGTTCCTTTAAGAGCACTTTGCTCTTGATCAGCAGGTTTACTAGTGGTTCCTAGAATTTCTAAAAATAGAATGGTAGGCAGAGCTTTTAGTTATCAGGCTCCTCTGCTGTGGAACCAACAACCAGTTGTAGTCTGTGAGGCAGACACCCTGCCTACTTTTAAGGCTAGGCTTAAAACGTTCCTTTTTGATAAAGCTTATACTTGGACTTGAAAAATTCAGTCTAGGCAACTGAACGTTGAAGTTGCTGAAGTTTTCTAGAAGATGTTTTGCCTCTCATCCAAGAGGCTTCTTCAGTTCTAACAAGGGGTAGGGAACACTGAGATTAATATACTAGATTAACATATTAGTCAGTGGGGCTCAGATTATCCTGAACCATCTCTATAGTTGTGTTGCTATAGGTATAGACTGCTGGAGGACATAGGGACGCCTTTTCATCATTCTGCCTTCATACTCCAATTCTGCAGTATGTGTTAGTTCAGTCTCTAACATTATGCTCTCTCTGCTTTACTCATCATAGTAGCTTCGTCTGGTCTGTTCCTGTTTGGCTGTGACACCATCCTGGAGAGAAATATCAGCTGTGCTGCTGCCATCAACATCTTTGTTTATAGATGTTGGAGCTTGGCCTGTTTTTCAGTGCATTCCTGTTTCACTGACTGTGAGTAACAGTATGTGCTCTCTTTCATTCTCTGACATGGGAGCTGGTTCGGAGCTTGTCTCTCTGGCTGTGTGTTTCCTGGACGGAGCCACCTGTGGAGCTGGTCGACAGTTGCCTTTTGTATCTCTGCTTCCTTTTCCATGTCTGCCTCTGTCTCCTTAAACCCTAGTCGGCCTCAGCAGATGGCCGCTCGCACTGAGCCTGGTTCTGCTGGAGGTTTCTAAAAGGGAGATTTTCCTCTCCACTGTCGCTACAAGCATGCTTAGTGTGAGGGATTGCCGAAGAGTCAAGGAGTCGACACAAGCAGCTGGTTTTCATTAGATAGAAAACTTTAAACCAATCTGACCGTATGATCTGGTTGAATTGTCTTGTTGTGAATTGGTGCCATATAAATGAACTCAATTGAAATTGAAATTAATTATAAAATAGTCTCTTGGCTGCAAATTTCCCAAAAGCAGACAAGCTATGAAAACCAAGCAGAGAAGTGAACAATGACAAACTGGACACAAGGCATAGCAGCCAAGTAGAGAATATAAACATTTTGCTCAATTAAATAAACAAGTCATTCAAGCAAAGAGTGTTTAAACACTCGTCGTCGTCGTCGTCGTCTCCCGCTTTATCCGGAACCGGGTTGCGGGGGCAGCAGACTAAGCAGAGACTCCCAGACTTCCCTCTCCGCAGACACCTCCTCCAGCTCTGTTGGGGGAAGCCCTAGGCGCTCCCAGGCCAGCCGAGAGACATAGTCTCTCCAGCGTGTCCTGGGTCGTCCCCTGGGCCTCCTCCCGGTGGGACGTGCCTGGAACACCTCCCGAGGGAGGCGTCCAGGGGGCATCCGAAGAAGATGTCCGAGCCACCTCAACTGACTCCTCTCGATGTGGAGGAGAACCAGCTCTACACTGAGCCTCTCCCGAATGACCAAGCTCCTCACCCTATCTCTAAGGGAGAGCCCAGCCACCCTGCGGAGAAAGCTCATTTCAGCCGCTTGTATCCGGGATCTCGTTCTTTCGGTCATGATCCAAATTTCATGACCATAGGTGGGGGTAGGAATGTAGACCGACCGGTAAATTGAGAGCTTTGCCTTTTCGCTCAGCTCTCTCTTCACCACGACAGACCGGTGCAGCGTCCGCATTATTGCAGCAGCCGCACCGATCCGTCTATCGATCTCCCGCTCCATTCTTCCCTCACTCGTGAACAGGACCCCAAGATACTTGAACTCCTCCACTTGAGGCAAGGACTCTCCTCCAACCTGAGGGGGACAAGCCACCTTTTTCCGGTCGAGAACCATGGCCTCGGATTTGGAGGAGCTGACTCTCATCCCGGCCGCTTCACACTCGGCTGCTGTTTAAACACCTCCAATATTATCTCCTAAACCAAACTAAAGTCATTGACTTCTAAACCTTACACCCACTTATAGAATAACAAAATGAAGTCTCTACGAAGCTCAACAGGATTTTTTGTGTTTGCTTAAATGTTTCTGTAACGAGCTCATAGACTCAAAGGGCGGCAGCTTTAACAGGGCCATACTTCAAGGTGTCCTCCAGGGACAGAGGAAAAACCACCTCTGAGCTTTACCATTCATTTTGCATTGCAAAAGCAGCGGCCAGACCTCAGAGGGACATTTTTATGCACATGCTTAAACACTAAAGTGGGCTTCCACCTCTGCTTTACAAAACCTGGTCCCAATGCAAAAAGCTCACTCATCTCAAATGATGTAACTGCAGTAGTCGACTTGACATGATTTACATTTTTTCTTGACTTTAACTGGGCCACACTATTGTGACACTTGCCTCATTTTTAGGGTCGTCTTCCTGTTGTAAAGTAAACGTCGCCCTTATATTGCCATATATTAAGATCCATCCATCATTCTATCAACCTTAACAGCCTTTCCTGTCCCTGTTTAGGCAAAGTGTCTCCACACTATGACGATAGATCCATGCCGTTTCACTAAAGGAATGTTCAATGTATATAAAATAGTTAGTTTTCTTCTTCACAATGTTTAGCATGTTTGTAAAATAGCTAATTTTCGATTTCTTCTGACCAGAACACCTGCACCCACATCCACACATTGTCCCCTCAGGGCTTTATGGTAAAATGCAGACAGGACTTACAGCTTTTTTTTCATTTAGGTTAGGCCTGCATGTTTATTTATTATTAAAAATATTTTTGTCCTTATAATGTACAGTATAAAAAGCCTCCGGCCACTTTCTGTCAAACTCCTTCGAAGTTTACGTTCCTTAAAGAATCTCCTGCACAATAGCTATGGCTTCTTCTGATTAGACAGAAAGAGCCTAAAGCAGCTAAAATGACAGTTACTGGGGAAATGAAGTTAAAAATGGGGATAAATAAATTCAGAAAAATAGCAAATATCTATAAATGTGTCACTTTTCAGAGATCCTGAATATTTTTTTCCCCTCTCCACTGAGGAAAGGAGAACAACACAGAAGACTTCGACATACACTCTTTAAATTTTTGCAATGCAACAGGTTCATAATAGAACAGTTTTACTTGTTTGGCAAATGAAAAAAAAATAAAAAATTATACATTTTCAATGTTTACTAATAAGATGTTTTGCAATTTCTCACCAAAATGTGAACCTTTCTTCAAGTTTTTCTGAAGCAAGCTTCTGATAGATGGTTGGAAATATTTTAACCTAGAAATGTTCGTCTCTGTGGTGCATATGATAGACAAAAAAAAAAACCTACAGTAGACTTTCAGGAAGAGCTGCAAGTCAGAATGCAAAAGCGTGCAGGATTTCCTCTTCATACTGAGATTAACCTGCCTGCAAGCCTGCGATAGATCTGGACTACAGCAGCCTGATTATAAGCATGCTGATTGAAGCATGGGTAACATATAATAAGACATATGGAACTACTCAAAGAATGAGCTGAAGTGTTATCAATAATCACATTTTTTAAAATACATTTTCTAAATGTGGCTGTTTGTTAAACTTCCCCTTCTCAAGTTAAATGGTCTGAACTGCCAAAACAGAAAATAACATTAAGGGTTTGTGGATTCCTGTGTATTGACTTGTGTTTTCTGCAGACATGCCGAAACAAAAGGGTCAAAATTCTGTGCTGATCAATTTAGTTGACAAAATAAAAATTTTACTTGGTAATAATTGACCTCCTGCTCATTTTCTACAGGAATTGAGAAAAACTGAAGAGATAATGCCTCTTTGTTCATCTAAGGATGTCGGTACTATGTAACATCCATTCATGCAGCAGTGCAGGTTGGTGGCCAGCTATCATTGGATAAGATGGAGTGTACACCCTGAGCAGGTCATCTCCATCAAAGGGTAACACAGCGACACAGAACAAACAACTACATGTGCATAAATCCACACTTTAAGGGCAATTTAGGGCGGCGGATCATCCCAGAATGGATTTCATTGGATTTTGGTAGGAAGCCAGAGTACCAGGAGAGGACTCATGCAAACACAGGCAGAACTTGCAAAAACAAAACAACAAAGTGAGCTTATTTTTTGTTTGTTGGCTCTAGCCAAAGTGGTACAACCACTGTTAGGTAGTGATTTTACCCAATAAAATTTTTTTGCACTTCAAACTTCATCTAAACATTTTGAGTATAATAAAAGTGACAATAATGTGCATATGTATCTTCATTATGCTTTGATTTTAAGTCTGTCTTTAAACCCAACTCAACTTAAAACCCAACAAAAACAAACACTGCTGTTATTAAATAGTTGTGTAATCGCCCACAAAGGAAGAACCCTAACCCTTCTGACAATTGTTGGAGTTTGTGAACACTATCTCTATTATTGCAATAATGTCATAACTATGTTTTTCCATTCTGTATTTCTCTTAAAAAATTTTTTAAAAAATCTAAAATAAAATACACATTTTGGCCGGATATTAGTCCCACAAATACAATATGTTTTAAATAGAAAAAGACACATAGAAGAAATGTTAACTATGTCAGTGTGATCTGTCTTGAAATAGATAAGAAAATCATTAGCTGGAAAGAATGGCCACCTGTCTGCGTCCAGGTCAGGACTTTGTGTTTGCTGTGGCCATGATCCCACAATGAGCCAGAAATACATCTGACCTGCTCACGTGGAGCAGCTGAAATGCTCCTACAAATACTCTCTGCTCATTCACACACTTGTGTGAATCTAAAAAGAGAGATAACTATCAAAACTTACGATAAGCTGTTTGTGCCCTTTTTATCTGACTATACAGAGATGACAGAAGTACTGGAAAGCAGGCGGTGTTATGATGTTTCACTCACAGCGAACTTTCTCTTCCCTCATCGCCTCCTTCTCCTCCTCAGTTGTTCTCAAAGTTGGGGGACGGAAGTGGGACATGACCATGAGGAACTCCTTGAAGCCGATCGCCTCATAGGATCCCAGCTCATTCCCATGCTGGTTCCTGTGTTTCAGCCAAAGGTATGAAAAATCGTTTAGTTTTGCTTATAAAAAGTGAGGGAATTAAATCTATCTAAAGCGACTAATGAAATATTTAAATAACTTTGTTATGAATCTCTAAGTGTAATCTGACCCACATAACAAAAAGGTTGGTTGGGTATTCTTTGGCAGCCGTTTTGTTGCAAGTCTCCACATGACTTGTGTTTTAGAGAACAGAAATCACATGATCTTACCACAAACCAAGGAAGGTTTAAATGATGTCGTTCTTAAATAAAAGAAAAAAGATCTTCCTTCTCTTACATTAAAACAAGAATTCACAACTGCTTAAATATTACATTTTGTTTACAATACTCTTAAATGAAAAGGAGGACCAGAAGCTTATCTTCATTAATATTTTTGTTCCGAATGTTTTCCTTCCATCTTCCTAATACTAAATAAAAATTATTTCTATATTTTCACACTTACTGTATGCATTACATTTGTGGAGAAACTCACAAGAAAGCAAAACCATTTTGTGCGTGTGACAAACATGACCTTTTACCGATAAAAAAAAAAAAATAAAGACCTAAATGCAAAAAAATAAAAACGTTTCTGGGATGTTTTCTGTGTTTTTAATCTATTTTATTACATAATATAACAGGGTTTATACAGGAATGAATAACTCAGATTGAATGCTTTTTAATGCTCTTAGAAATATTTTTAATGCCACCAACAGGTACCCGTCGACAGGCTGCAGCCAGGTTCCGAATTCCTCGTTTTCCAACCACTATTGTTGAAATGTGCTTTTTTCCCCCCATTCTCTAGCTTTTTCTCCGACTCAAGCTTCTTTTCTGAACATACAGCTTTGCGATCAACCGGAAGCAGTTCCATGCAAATATATCGTGATAAAATATGTCTCATGAAATTTTTTTATTAACATTTTTTTTAATAAAGCACTTTAAATGCCACAATAAAAAAACGTAATGAATTTTAATGCCAATTAAGGCCTTAATTTAAAAAAATAATAATTTAATGACTTTTAATGATTTTTAATGACCCGCGGAAACCCTGTATAAAATAAAAATGACCCGCGGAAACCCTGTATAAAATAAAAATGAACACATTTGTTTTTCCTCATTTTGACACTACTACATTCATATTTTCTTTAAAAACACTCGGCTTTTGCTTGTTTTTTAAGGCCTTATAATTGTTGAAAAGTTCCATTTTGCCTTGATCCTGTTCCAAACCAATAAATCAGGTTTCATTAAAGTAAAGTGGAGGATGTTCTTTTTCCGGGTGGATAAACAAAATAACTGGTCCTCCTAATTGTCAGTCATTCTGTTGATATGTTTACTAGAGGTGAGTATTGGCATGAGTGTTGCGATTTGATACATGTCGCGATACTTGGGTCACGATA